GAGGAGGAGGAGGAGGAGGAGGAGGGGTGCCCTCAGTGGTGGGGATGCCTCGGGCGACGCGCCCGACCCGCCCGAGCCCCGCTTGCGGCTCGCGCCCTGCGCGGTGTCGCGGGCCTTCCCTCGGCGGCCCCCGCTCGGGGATCTGCTGACCGGGGTCGATCTTCACCCGGGTCGGTCAGGCGTTGCATCAGGTCGGGCCTGTCCCCCTACAGGGGGATTTTGGACGAAACGCCCCCCCCCCCCCCCCCCCCCCCCCCCAAAAAAAAAACTATGTTTTGACTATTCTTGAACATCCCCCCTGTAGAGGGACAGACCCATCTTGAGCTTTGCAAGATCCTGCGCCCAAGCCCGGGCCGATGCAACCCTGGCTCTCCCTGAGATCCGCCGTGGCAGGACAAACTGCAACGTCCAAAAAAATCGCGGCCGGAGCCCCCGACCCCACCTTTCTGCGCCATCTGCCGACCCGCATCGATCTGTGAGGGCCCCAGGGCCCGAAATGAGTCAAAAAACGCCCGTTGTTACCGGAAAGTGGCAGAAAGATAAAAACTCAGAGGTCCGCGCGGATGTCTCGGATCGGCGTTGGACCCCCCTCCCTGGCGCGCCAGAGGCGGCGCCGGAGGCACCGCCATGGGGCTCCAGCGCCGATCCGAGGAATCTGCGCGGACCTCCGAGTTTTTATGTTTGTGTCATTGTTCGCTCCCCTAGACATGGAGCAAAAACGCCCGTGGTGAATAAATCGCAGCGGCAGGATCTCAGGGCTGCCGGATCCCGAAAGCTCTGGCGCTCGGGCGGACCCCCGTTTGCATTAGGTCGGGCATGTCCTCTTACAGCTGGATTTGGGAAGAAAAACTAGAAATAGCCAAAAATAATTCAAAGACGGGCGAAAAATCATCCTCATATTATTTGTTACTACTGTTTTGAATACTCCTCCTGTAGAGGGACATGCCCGCCTTGACGTTTGCATGGGCCCAGGACCCCCCCCCCAGGAACCCCGAGTCGCGGCCCGGGGAAGGGGGCCCCCGGAGGCGAGGAGAGGGCGGCGCCGCACCCCCCAGGGCCCCCAGGGGGCCTCCCTCCTCCGCCTCCGCCTCCTCCTCCTCCTCCTCCTCCGGCCTCCTCCTCCTCCTCCTCCTCCTCCTCCTCCTCCTCCTCCTCCTCCTCCTCATCCTCATCCTCATCCTCATCCTCATCCTCATCCTCATCCTCATCCTCATCCTCATCCTCATCCTCTCATCCTCATCCGCATCCCTCATCCTCATCCTCATCCTCATCTTCATCCTCATCCTCATCCTCACCTCATCCTTCATCCTCATCCTCATCCCTCATCCTCATCTCCTCATCATCATCATCACATCATCGCAGCATCATCATCATCATCATCTCTCATCATCATCATCATCATCATCATCTCATCATCATCTATCATCATCATCATCATCATCATCCTCATCCTCATCCTCATCCTCCTCCGCTCCTCATCCATCATCCTTCATCCTCATCCTCATCCTCATCCTCATCCTGCAATCCTCATCCTCATCTCATCATCATCCTCATCATCATCATTCATCACATCATCATCATCATCATCATCAGCTCATCATCATCATCATCATCATCCTCATCTCATCCTCATCCTCATCATCATCATCCTTTCCCTACTCGTCCTCCTCCTCCTCATTTTTCCCCTCCTCATCCTCCTCCTCCTTTTCCTCCTCCTCCTCCTACACCTCCTCCTCCTCCACCTCCTCCTCCTCCGCCTCCGCCTCCTCCTCCTCCTCCTCCTCCTCCTCCGGCCTCCTCCTCCTCCTCCTCCTCCTCCTCCTCCTTCTCCTCCGCCCTGCCGCTGGCGCTGGCGCTGGCGCCGACGCTGCCTCGAGTGCCCCTGGAGATTGGGCCCCCTGTGATTCCGTCTGAGGCTCTGGGCGCTGTGGGCGCGGACACGCCCCCAGGCCCAGGCGCAGAGGACACCGGGGTCGCCAGGAGCTCCCCCCCTCCTCCTCCTCCTCCTCCTCCTCCCTCCTCATCCTCCTCCTCCTCTTCCTCCTCTCCTCTTCCTCCTCCTCCCTCCTCCTCCTCCTCCTCCTCCTCTCCTCCTCCTCCTCCTCCTCCTCCTCGTCCTCGTCCTCCTCCTCCTCCTCTTCCTCCTCCTCCCTCCTCCTCCTCCTCCTCCTCCTCCTCCTCCTCCTTGGCAGGAACTGCGCATTACCCTTGCACGCGCCCGGTCGGGCCAGCGTCAGTGCGAAAGGAAGAGAAGAGGCCATATTCGACCCCTGTCCCAGGCCTTGGGGGATGTTCGACTAGGCCGAAAATTTGGGCCCGGCCCTGGGACATACGATAGGGGGGGCGCCCATACTCCACAGGGGTGCGCCCGCATAGCCCCCTGGGGTATCCCAGAGTTTGTTATTTTTCCTGGGCGGCCAATCTTTTCGGGCGGAACTCGGGGACTGGGGGAGAAAAACCGCCTGCGAATTTGGCTCGCGTATGTGGGGCGGGCACATGC